ACTAAATTTTGATCCCTGAAATCTTTGGTAATACCAATGTTCACTTTGTCTGGTTTTGTTGCAGCATGCCCCATATATATACACTCCCTGGACAAAAGTATCTGGACACCTGTTTTTACTAATTACACAAAAACGCACATAATAACTATGCATAAAATTTTGACAAAATTTGGCTTAGATTTTGACAAACATGCATATAAAATTTGATGCTTTTAGAACGTCTAGAAACATTTTAGTTAAAAAAATACGAAATTCGACCAAAAAAATGATCAACAAAATTTTATTGAAAAATATAAAAAATAAAAAATCCAATATTAATATCGAGTTGGCCATCCATTGCTAGAAATACAAAATGGTTTGTTGCAGGATGCCCATATAATCTGATGTGCTTTTGCATGATTTCGAATTAGTGGTCACATGACTTGAAGCATTCGTTATTTGATTTTTTTACCCCGAAAGCTAAGTGAATTGGTGATGTTTTATAAAACACCCTTAAACGTAGAATTCATTGAAACAACTCAAATGGTTTGTTGCAGGATGCCCATATATAAAATTAAATAATTAACCATGGCATAATTGGTCTATAAGCTTTACAGACTCAATAATAAAAATAAAATAATAGCAATGCATACTTTTATACATTTATTAGAAACATTAAAGAATTGATCAAAGTATTATCAAGGAAGTAGTATGCATAGCAAGTTTCGTAAACATTACATTTATTTAGGGTTCTTAACCATAATTATAACTCCATATTCGAATATTCGTAAATCCAAAATTACGAATTTCGAATATTATTTTGGATACTTGTAATTATTATGGATACTTGTAATTATTATGGATACTCGTAATTATTATGGATGCTTGTGATTATTTTGGATGCTTGTAATTATTAATTATTTCAGATATTTCAAATACTTTATTTAAAATATTTCAAATACTTGTATTTGTAAATAAATATTCAACAAATCACAGATTTATCTACTAAATTATATTTGCTATAAAAGAAAAAAACATTGAAAATTTAAGAAAATGGTTGAACTATTTTTAAATTATGTTTCAGAAATACCATCTTTCCCACTTGTTCAGGTTTTAGATTAGTCCTTTTGGCAGTAATAATATTTCCTACATCATTAAATAATCTCTCAGAAGCAACAGATGTAGCTGAGATGCATAAAAATTTTTTTGCCAATTTTGTTAAAATGGGAAAATTATTTTTGTT